GGGAAATCTACAGGTCACGGGACAGTCTAATTTTTCAGGAGGTGGTAGATAGGCTGCATGCAGTCGTGGGACTTAGGATGCATGCAGTCGTGGGACCTAGGCAGCACTCTTTTCTGGGACGTAGGTGGGTTTTGGTTAGGGGCCGTTTTAGATGTTTTGGAGCAGTTCTAGATGTTTTGGAGTCGTTGAATGCACCAGATAGCCGGGAAACCCAGTCTTACCACCCCCTAAAATTTTTGACTGTCCTGTGACGTCATCTTAGGTATTATATTTATAAAGAACCACATTCAGTATTTCCAGTACAGATTAAATTGTGTAATATGAGGTATAGACTATATATAATTTAAATATCTTAGGCACAGTCATAAGGCTATAATCATTTGCATATCATTGACACAGATTGAGGGGTATCATTATTTACATATCATTCCACAGACTAAAGCGCCGACATGTGACATCTCCACAAGATGTTAAACTACTGCGGCTAAATCTGAGCTCCATAAACAAAGTCATAGATATTGATCTACAAGAAGGCTCTGTGTGGAGTTCCAGCTCAGACGCTGTGCTCAGACACGGCGACGATGCAGAAAAGTTTAATCCAGAGGTTGGACCAAACTGTCATTTTGCTGGACGTGTCAGGGTTGATTTCGGCTATGCTAGTTTCAGTTTCTGCAGCGGCGTGGTAAATATTTTCGGAGTTTTTATCAATGTATATCAGTTAGCCTTATTATCATCTCTCGCTGTGCCGATACGAGAAGGCTGATGTATGTTCACATCTTATATTTGTTTTATTAGTTGGTTTGTCTTTGATTGTAACAAGTGACTACATTTTGTATGAGTTCAAATTCCATCAACTCTATTTGCCTTATTGCTTTTAAAACAGACCAGGGGTTAGACCAAGACGACACTGGATAGACAATATGCAGGGAGACCTACAAACCCCTCGAGTCAAGACTGGTATGGTTTTTCAGGTTTTGAACAAAGTATCAACATCATGGCACACGGGCAATAACCCATAACTGCTCCAGTTCTTCTTCTCACTCAAGTCTGAGTCTGAACAAGCTTAGCACAGTGCACAAGCTCTGTAACACCGGCGAGGATCCCTAAATACTTTAGCTACTCTTTTTTCCCTTTCTAACTGTCAAGGGATTTTTTACGGGTGCAACAATGCACAGGGGCGTCCGATCTCACTACCCAGAGACCAGGGAGAAATTACTAGAAGTCCAAGTGCACGTGAAAAAATCTCAGCTCTTACCGGGGGATTCAACCCGAAACCTGTAGCACGTGAGGTTGACACCAACTGGCAAAAGAAGACCAATCACAGAGATAAATGGTGGCGAGGGATATCTGCAGAAGTCTCTTCACCTTCTTCTTTCGTTCGCTTGAAATAAATTAGCTTTATCTGCAATGCTGTCTCTAGCATGAACTTCATTGTCTTTTGGTATTCACTTAAAGGCCTGTAAAGTTTGGCTTCCACCAGTGTCTCTCTTGGCCAGAAGTGTTGCCTGGATATGATGCATATGGGATGTGATCTGCTGTCTTAGGTGCCACATGTGCGCATGGCTGATTCGCCAGTCTTAAATGATATGTACATTTGGCTGCAAAATCTAATCTTCTAAGACGTAAAATAATGACTTGCATGGTCTTTCCATAAAATAGAAATCGTCACGTGCCAGTTTTGGTGGTTTTCGGATTGATTTGATGATTCTTTTCTTCTGTTGATAAGATATATGCAGCAGTGAACCCCAAGGGCTCGGAATGCTGGAGAAGTTATGCCATTCATTTTAGGGACCTATAGATAAATCCATTTAGAAATGTGAATAGAGGAGTCAGCTGCTGGAAATAGAAGTCCAGTTAGAGATGTAAATGGAATAGTGGGCCGCTGGAAAGGGACGTCCAGTCAGTGATATAAATGGAATAGTGGGCAGCTGGAAAGGGACGTCCAGTTAGAGATGTAAATGGAATAGTGGGCCGCTGGAAAGGGACGTCCAGTCAGTGATATGAATGGAGGAGGTTGCCATCAGCAGCAATGAACATCAGGGGCTGAATTAAAAGAAAAAATCAGATTCATTTTTAAAGCAGTGAAGGACGTGTGGTGCTTGACTCATACTTGTAAAGACAATCGAGACTGGAAGGGTGGTGTCGTCAATATCACACCTCTCTTCTCTTCTGCCTGTCTAACATCCAATGAAGCACAGGCTCTCAACCAACTCATGCCAAGTCGTGCTATCCTTCGCTATCTTATGCAGTTCTCCTCAGGCCCTCCCCATCTTTTCGATTTCTCTCTCTAGCAACCTTCTCCATGTGTGTGAGTGTGTGTGTGTGTGTGTGTGTGTGTGTGTGTGTGTGTGTGTTTGTCTCCCTTCATTTCTATACATCTGTGGGTTCCAGCGAAGACATTCTAGTTATATTGTTCTCAGGTTTTATTCAACGTGTGTCCTATCTAAAGCTAGCATCTTTTCTTCCTATTTTGGTCCACTGGAACTTGTTTCGTTCTCTGCTAAAGCTCTACATTAGTGATTCTACCATACCATGTAAATTCCTCTATTCTGTGCAGGCACCAGTTAATGATTGTTCGCGGTGTATTATTAATTGCCTTAGTTGTTAATATCCCACTTGCCTACACTAATTGAATAAATGATTTCTAAGATTTTAATTCATTACTGTATTCTTTCAGAGCGGAATAATTCACACGAACAACGAAACTTACACAATCGAACACGATGCTTACGACACGAATGGAACCACCTCTAACGACATAGATAATGATTTCCCATCGCTCATCGTCACAATCACAAATTCCAGTGAAGTACAGTCCAAACAAACAGAAGACGTCGACTTGTACCCCGTTGAAGCGTTGGAAACCGATGATGAAGATGTTTTCACTGATGAAAATGATGATCCAAAGGCAACGGATCTTCCAAGAGTTGAGGCAACAACTGCAGGCAGCGAACACAACAGTGTCTCAACAACGCTGAAAACCGGTAACTACAATATTGAGGACTGTGTTGTTTCATAAGATATACGTTAGTATGTATATGCCTTTATATACATTTAATAAGTAGATATTCTTTTACAGTGGATCTTCGGTTCACAAACGCCTCCCTTCTGGAACAATACCGTTTCTCAAACAAATATTTTTTGCGGGAAAAAACCAAACCTCGATTTCTGCAACAGCCAGAACCATTACAAATGAGTAGAAAAAAGTCCCTCCGCAAAGTGTTTTTTATGACACCAAAGCTATTTAAGTACAAGTAAAGAGACAGGTCATTTTCACTGACAATTTGTCATTTCTGTTAGGAAACAAATTAACAATAATGGTTGCAATAAAAATTGTGTCAATTTTCAAACAACTCGTATTTTAAACAACTCTTAATGAAATATTAATTTCGAGAACCAAGGTTCTACTGTGTACGATTTTTTTTTTAGAGGATATTTGTTTCGTAAGAAATACAACAGCAGTTTTGTTAATTCATTTATTTATTTTTTAAATAGCAAATGCTCTAGCATATTTTTTTCGGTTTTATTGAAGTACATTAGTAAGTATTTGTTTTATAACAAATACATAGGTAGGTATTTGTTTTATGAGAAATACATTAGTCGTTACTGCACTGATCCAAAAGTACATTGATAGTTTAAGTAACTGCTACTTTCTGTAACTACTTTTAGGTTTATGCTCATAGGGCTGTAAGAACCCAAAGAAATATGACCTTCCAATTTTTGAGCGATAATACAAAAGATAGAAAACCACAAATTTACAGTGTTATGATGAACAATGAGTCAGTAGCCATTTGAGTAGGAAGTGACTTTATTTGGTATTATAGTTTGTACTATAAATAACTATCATCAGGGAAGGCTCACTCATGGGCCACTCAAACATCCAAGACCTACAACAGATTGCAACGAGCCGCCATGCATGGAGAGTCATGACCTCTGCCCTATGTGCCGCACTCGACACAAGAGGAAAGACTAACTAACTAACTAACTAACTATAAATATAGTAGCGGTGATTATGTGCGGTTCTAGAAGTTGAGTTGAGTTTATTCAAGAACCGACATCACAGCACTTGGTGCATTCTCATAAGCATTATGTCCCCATCTTCAGCAGCTAGTGAAGAGTTCAGATACTAATAGTGCCAGTAGCATTCTGACTAAACGCCCGTCCTGCCTTTCCTCTGCCAGAACCTCTCGTCATTCCCTGCTGCATCAGCCTCACCAGACTGTGGTGATCCATCTGCCCCTCTCAACTGTACATGCTCTCCCACAAGGCACTAACCACGTCTGCCTTATCATGCATCAGTATTCCACCAAGTTGTGTAGAGCCAGCCAGTCTGTTCCACTGTTTATTTCCCAACACACCAGAGTTTCCCCGTGGAAAAAAAACAGACAATACTTCTCCCCCGTGTCCTCTGCAGTGAAGCATGCCATTCTGCACGAAGCATACCACTCTGCACGAAGCATGCCTGTCCTGAACTTCCTCGGCAACCTTTATGAGTCAGTTATAATCACAATGTGTGTGTGTGTGTGTGTGTGTGTGTGTGTGTGTGTGTGTGTGTGTCGTGTCTACAATTGTGACGATCGAATAGGATACGAAGACATATGTCAACACACATAGTGCAGAGCAGACGTGACATACATAAATTATAGAAGAGTGAGTGGTATTCTCTGTCAACTGCGAAATCAATGAAAGTGCTGGCTTCCTCCAGTCTACACTTGTTGAGAGGAGTTTCAGTTTATCGCAAGTGCCAGATTTGATGTTCTGGCTAGTAAACGACTGTATGGTTGTCAGATGCTATGACACCCATGACTTGCCATTGCACAATGTATCATTATCGTCTGGTAAGACAGAAAGGTGCAAATAAAGGTTGTAAGAATTTGTTGATGTTTCATTTAGGAGATATTGTGAAAACATTTAAATGAAAAAATTGATTCCATGTTTCTGCAAAATTGTTATAGGAAATAATTTTTTATTAAATATTCAGACATCATTCCAACCCTAAAATGATGAAACAATGTGCTACTGTAGGTCGAGGAAAAGCAACAATTGAGGTGGGGATATACATCAACGCTAACTACACAAACATCCTCAAGGAGAGTCAGATCAGCACTGCCTCACAGATTGTGAACTGGGTCATCAACCGGTGGAATATCGTAAGTAGTCTAATGTATGTATTCTGATTTAAAAATAGACGTCATAATATACCTGGTATTGGCAGTGAACTAATTATAAATTACATAGAAAGACAGCAAATCAAATGGTTTGCCTACTCGAAGAGAATGCCTTCTAATGCTGTACCAGACAAGGCATATAGCAAAAGAGAAAAGGGACATGGAGCAAGAGGTAAACCAAGAACAAAATGGAGGGATAGAATAAGAAACTCTATAGTACCAAGATGTGTCTTTGGTCGAAGCAGCGAGAAAAAAAAACGAAACAGGACCTTAAATCTCCCTCGACACCGGAAGCGGTAAAAGAGGACGTAAAGAAGAAGAAGAAGAAGAAGAAGAAGAAGAAGAAGAAGAAGAAGAAGAAGAAGAAGAAGAAGAAGAAGAAGAAAAAGAAGAAGAAGACATACCGGGTAAGCGATACCGGGGCCCATTGTAGAAGATGTAGATAGAAGATATATATATATATATATATATATATATATATATATATATATATATATATATATATATATATATATATACACACACACACTTTGACATCATGGCCTTTAGGAGCAGCAGTATTTCTAAAGACTGGCAGTATGCGGGACAGAAACTGCGGACAGACATGACGACAGACGCCACACGGCATGAAATATAAGGAGGATTTTATGTTTTCCTAACTTTCAATTGTTATTTCAATGTTTGTGAATGTGTCAAAAAAGTGATCGGCGGATAGCATTCGGCCCTTTGTATACGTGCAAGTGTGGCACAGGATTAAATCAAGTGTTTCTAATGCTTTGATGCTTGTCTTTTAACCGTCTCAACACGCAATTTTCTTCCTTTTTACAAAACATTAAAATAGCCTGGATAACGCCACCCCACATCTCATTGCACAAACACACACAGATATATATATATAAAACATTCACTCTAAAAAAAAACACATAAAAACATGAGACATTTTTATTTTTAGTTTGCCTTTCCCGAAAATATACATGATATGTTTTCACAGTAAATATATTACACGATGCCTAGGAACGCCAGAAACTGGGAGTATAATAACACTGAGTGCACCCTAGCAACAGAGGAAAATTTGAATTACTTCCCTCTACATTTTCAAGGTGCGAAGAAGCGCCCACTCACAACCAATGTTAAAAAAAAAATTTTAATTCAAGATTTCGTTTATCAATATCGTATTATTTCAAATATTTTATTATATTTATAGTTGCCATTTAGCACAAAGTTACTATTAGTAATATTTTACACATGTAAACAAGGCGTATATCCCTTGAGGACCTCTAGAAAATGTGTACGGAACGGGAGGCTCCCATCCATTATTTTATATATGTCTGCGCCAGTTCCTGTGCCACTAATTGTGTATAGTTTATCGTATTATTCTAAATAAACGTCACTGTGTAATAAATGTGAAGTTTGTAAAGAAATATTGTTCCGATTATCGAAGAAAAGGCTGAAGTGGGTGGCTCCAGTCATAACTAGGGCTGTACCGAATAGTGAATATGAATAGCTGGACCAACTATTCGGCCGAATACGAATACGAATAGTGAATCATCATCATCAGGTGCTTTGCTGACTGGCATAGGCAATTATGCCTCGACACAATCTGCGATCTCCTGCAGCATGTATCACTTAGTTCGTGTGCTGACACACCTCTATGCCATGCAACAAGACTGTCAAGAATCTTCTCTCTTTGTCTTCCCCTATCCCCCCTTCCACATATCTTTCCAGTGGTCACCACATGTTCCATTTTCCCACATCTTATAACATGGACGAAAAATGATGACTGTCTCCTTCTGATGTCCGTGAGTAGTTGTCTTCGGGCTCCCGCCTCTATCAAAACCTCTTGGCTGCTTTTCTGTGTGTGGCTGTCTAAGGTATTTTTTAAGCATTATTTCTGTCTACCGATTGTCCAGGACTTACATCCATATGTTAAAACTGGATGTGTGTACTATGTAGCAAGCAAGAATTCTTTTTTTAACCTTCAATGACAAAGATATATTTCATAAGATGTTCTTCATTTTATTAAATGCAGTTTTTGCCTGTCCTATTCTGTTTCTTATTTCAGTAATGCATCTTCCATCTGATGTTATCCATGTGCCCAGATACCTAAATTTCTCTACTTGATATAAAATAAAACCATTGACTTTTATTACACCTTTAGGAATAATTTTTTTTTTTTTTTTTTTTTTTGATACCACCATTACTTCTTTCTTCCCACTATTCAAACTGAGGCCAATTCTTCCACTTTCGTGTATAAAATAGATCAACAGAATAAAAAAAAAAAAAGATCCATATTGTCAAATGTATGCTGAAATTTTACTTTACAAATGTAGTACAGAATAGTAAACATTTAAAAACATTTCATGTTTTGCATCCTTTAGTCAGTCAGTCTGTGGTAACTAATACATAGGAATGTAAGTATTCTTAGTTTTTTAACAAGTAACTAAACTTGTAAATTGTCACTGACAGCTTAGTTAATCAGTGAAAGCGGCATTAGCTCCCACCCCCCCCCCCCTCCCCAAATCGTGCTATGTTGTCAGCATTAAGGCAGCTTCTTGTCTCACTAAAGGTATTTCCAACTGTACTAAACAGACGTTCACTTGGTACGCTCGTAGGTGATGCACAAAGATAACGCTTGACAGTATGAACCAAGGTGGGAAATCTTGATATGTTTATTTTCCACCAGTCCAGAAACGGGTGTAAAGTAACCACTATTCGTATTCGGCCCGACCGCAACTATTCGGCCGAATACCGAATAGTTATTAAGTCCAGTATTCGGCCCCGAAGCGAATACGAAGCGAATATTCGGTACAGCCCTAGTCATAACACCTATTATTAATATCGTGACCTTTACGCACTCTTCAGTTTAGTGTGTAGATCACGAATGGGAAAAGTCAGGACAAAAAAGTATTAACAGAAATTTCTGCCGTCTCCATTATGAATGTTGGTCACAATGTACCACTCTTGTCTTCGGGAGTTTTTCGTTGTGAGACACCAGTCTCTTCCACTGTGCGACTCTCATGTACCAGTGTCCGAAAACCCCGATGAAAAATTCCGCCACCCCCTCCCCCCCCCCCCTTTCCCCCCACCGTTCATCCGCGGGGAATGAACCCTAGCACTTAAAGATCTTGAAATTGTTAACCGCATTCTATAACACGCAAGCCACTTAAAGGGTTCTTAAAATTATTCAGTCTGGTCCTGCCCTGGAGTTAAATGTTCTACCCAACACGGCAGGATATCTTTTTCTTATTCGCGTTCAGTGGCTGTAAACTGTGGGTGAAAGTCCTGGTTGTTCGTCCACCCCTAGACTTTAGTCTGTTCCAGAACCTGAGTGTTACTTGCACATTCGTTTTACAGATCTAACTTATTTGTATGCAGATTGTTGGTTATATTCTGTTGATAATTCTGCAAGGTCAGCCAGGTATGCTACACAGTAAACACAGACAACGGTTGAACGGGGATTCCGTGACTTCTCCTTGGGTGATCCTCATCCGCATGGTGGCATCTTGTGTCACCGGGTGTTTATCGCTCTGTGTGATGTCCTGGTGGGGTAAAACTTACTTACTACTTACTTTACACACTAAATGTAATATCTTTGCCATGCACACTGTGTAATCCCATATTGATGTTTTATAGATCAGACAAGTTTACCAGGATACGGCTCGCATTGGGACTGAAGTTGATATCAAGATTAAACGTTTGGAGATTTGGTCTAAAAATCCAGTGAGTTAATTGTCAGATTCTTCTTCATTGCTCTCTTAAACTTTACTCGATATAAATCCGCTTTATAACTAAGACTGGTTCGGGTTTAAACCTTAGCAGAAGCAAGATTTCTTCCTTCCCCCTCCCCCCGACTAACCGACTAGTAAGGCTGAGAAATCGATCTATTCTCAAATACTACTCTGTGTGTGTATGTCTGTGTGTGTGTGCGCGCGCGCGCCGTACGCGCGTTTGTGTGTGTGCGTGTGTGTGTCGTTCAACCCCACCAGGATATTACAACGAGCGACCAACACCCCGAGACACAAAGTGCCACCATTCGGAAGAGGATCACCCAGGTACAAGTTCCAGAAACTTTATTTAACTGTTAGGAAATATAAAGGCGTCAGATTGCAGCCGGGGTTGGGCTTAAAAATAACGAAAAAGTGTGTCCCACACTGGGACAGAATCATTATATATATATATATATATATATATATATATATATATATATATATATATATATATATATATATATATATATATATATACAGCTGTAGTTGAGAAAAGAGTACCATATCAAGATATAAAAAATAAAAAATAAAATATTTCTTCACGCGAAGAATAAATTACTGCTTTTCGTCCTTCTTAGGACGTTATTTTTTGTTATTTGAAGCCCCACTCTGGCTTTTGCCAGGGGCCGCAATATAGGCAGGTCATCATTATGGCCAAATGTCTGAACGCGGTTTCTGGGACCTCTCCACGGTGATCCTCATCCGCATGGTGGCACTTTGTGTCATCGGGTGTTTATCGCTTGTGTGATGTCCTGGTGGGGTAAACAATCCAATCCAATCCAAAGAATAAATACGTAAGTGACGTATAATAAATCAATATCTAAATATTAAATGAAATATCCAAGTAAAGTTCGCAAATATCTTACAGCATACAATCATAATAATGTCAGTTCAGTTGTCAACAAAGAAAACAGCATTGTATTACTTATAATTTTGGCTGAAACATTTCCAGATTACAAATACAGGGACATAACTGCAGCTAAACATTCGATATCCTATGTATTCTCCCTTTCAGGATTACTATGGGAGTTCAAACGAGAGCCAGAGCATAAAATCCCACTTAAAGCTGTTCTGTGAGCAGTCACCAGAAGACGGTGTCGATCACAAAATGATGTACACTTGGTAAGACTGTAGTTGTTTTAACTGATCGTTTGAATTGCAAAGTTTTGATCTATTAAACATCATCACCGTCAGTCTATTATATAGGAATATGGAAAAGCAGTCACAAAATAGGCGTCGTCTCAATGTGGGTTTCAATTTTTAGTTATTTTGAAGAACCACCCTGGCTTTTGGCAGGGGCCCTAAATATAACCGTGCCTTGAATATGGCATAATGGCTGTACGGGGTTTCCGGGACCTCTCCACGGGTGGTCCCTCATCCGCATGGTGACACTTTGTGTTTATCTCTCTGTGTGATGTCCTGGTGGGGTGCAACTTACCTAACTATCTAGTCACAAAGCGTCAAATGAAAAGATGACTGGAGGAAGTGTAAGTGCTATTAAACTAGATATATTGTACATTACTTAGTAAGACTGCATATTTTAACAACTCATTCCACGTTACAGGAAAAGAATGTATGTATGTTGTTCAACCTCACCAGCACAGCACAACGAGGGGCCAAAACCCGGTGACCCAAAGTGCCACCATTCGAGGAGGATGACCCGGGCACAAGTCCCAGAAACCCCGTTCATCCCATAGTTGGGTTATATTAGGGCCCCCGGCAACAGCCGTTGTGAGGATTAAAATAACGAAAAATGCATACGCGAACGGTGTTTTTAATACTGAGGCGAAGAATTGGGTTCGTTTAAAAAAACACCACCACATGTTGCTAATGTTCATAAGAGTTACATCTAGCGAATTTACACCACATTAGAAAGAAGCATTTTAAACAGATTTGTTACAAAACCTCCTTTCTGCCAAATATAATTTCAGTGTGTTAAAAACATCATTTACGGGCCATTCACATTTATCATCCCGAAAATTAGCCTTCAGTATTTGGTAAAACATACAGAGACTACTTAGACGAGGTTTGGATTTTACTGCAGTCGGGTTTCCCCATGCCAAATAGACCACATCACAAATGACGAAATTATCCAGCATACTGGCAACTATGAACCTCTTTTAACAAGGTAGAAATGCAATGGTATGGACATGTAAAAAGATCTAACGACCTCTTAAAAAAAACAATACTGCATGGTTTAGTATAGGGGAAGAGGAAGGGAGGCAGGCCAAGAAAGACCTGGATAAATAACTTGACTGATTATACAGGCATTAAGCATGCAACCATGAAGTAAATCGCATCTAACTGTCAAAGGTGGAGGCAGCTGATTAGACAGTCAACAGCAACCGGCGACCCAACCACACGCAGGATTACAGGATGATGAGATGATGGTGATGATGGTGATGATTTGTTCAAACTTTAAACTAGTTTTCATGGTAAGCCAGACAACAACAAAAAAATATTTTTTTTTTGCCGGCTGGACGTTTTACAGCCCTGTTGCATTTTTAATTTTTTTTTTCTAACAATGTCTAATTTGTCTTTGGAAAACATTCACGCCCTGAATGGATGAAACCAAACTTGAATAACCAGTTGTTGTTCGTCCATCACAAGTGATGAAGTCCCCTTTCAGCCAAAGTAGTAATTATTATGAGTACGAAGATGGCTGATTCGTCCAAAATGAGCCTGGAAAGTTATTAGATTATTTCTAGTCTGCCTCCGTTTCTCTGCCTGTGCAACCTCTGCTGCCTGGCAGGCTGATGCATCATGCATGAGAGACGTACGCCATCCAGAATGGTCTGGCGCAGCAGCCTCCCACGTCGCTGTGTTGATGCCAAAAGAATTGAGAGCAGTCTTGGATGTATCCTTATAGCGCTTTTTTCTGTCCTTTCTGGGACCTCTTCCCTTACTGGAGCTCGCCATAAAATGCTCTCTTTATAAAGAGACAATAACCTGTCTAGTTACTAAAACAATGAACATTTCAATGATTCTGCAGGGAAACTAGGAAGAAAATAGTGGGAATCTCGTCTGTTGGAGGCGTCTGCCATCCCAAGAAAAAGTGTTCCCTTGTGATGCCTCAAAGAAATGGAGTTCAGCGAGAACTGCATGAGCTTGGTCACAAGTGAGTTGACTTCTTTTTTTATTTTAATATTAATAGTAGCATGATAATACAGTGTTCTTGTTTCCAGGCTCTGTTCAATCTATTCAGTCATGTATTGTTCATGTATCACTACGTAGTGACTTCAGCCTGTTAAAGATCGATATTGTTTATATATAAGGGAACCAGAATATACTTCAGAGGTGGTTTGGTTTGAGTTTTATGTAGGTACAAAATAATTTTACTTGCATTACATAGTACAGAATAGTATAGTACTGCCACACAAAAAATAGTAGAAAACTGGTAACAGTTAGATGTTGATCCACGAACTCTCTACTATAATGCTACAACAGGCAGAATAAAATAATGCCTGATGTTATGTTGTTAAATATAATCATAGCGAAATATGCAGGGCAATAAATTGCTCAATGTATTATTTGTGCCAGCATTATTTAGATAAAATATAATTTTAAACTCGAAACATACCGGTGCATTGTTTCCTACCAACCTCGCCCCAATCAGGGACGCATTTTGTTGTTGTTGTTGTTATTTTTAAGCCCCTGCCTGACTATAGTTAGGGACCTTATTGTTATTATAAACTAACGGTTGAGCTTCATCATATTAGTTTGAATTGGTCAGTTTCAACGGCTACCTCGGGAGGTAGCCTCTCCTAGATGGCATTAGTTATTTTTTTAGCCTCTGTTCATGCTGTCATTTAATTGTGTATTTCTTAATGTTGGTGGTTATAGCCCATCCACCCCCACCCCCGCCTCCCAGACCCATGTCTGTCGAGCCAGGTTGTCTGCAAGTTGTTTGTAGGATCGTCATTTTAGTGCTTATTGGTAAGTTTGGTGCTCGCCATGTTGAACGGGATTTCTAAGACTTTTACCAGGATTACATTCATCAGAATAGTGTCGCTTCGTGTCACCTGGTGTTTATGCCTAGTTGTGCGATACTGGTGCGGTTGAATGTCACTCACACATTGTTTCCTTATTCTTATTGTCCATGATGTGTTGCGCTGGTCGTCACATCTCTCTGGAGCCCCGTGTCACATATACTGCTAAACACTTTTGTAGTCTTTCTTTAATGCTATAGATTCAGTACAATAGAATTCTTTCACTTTTGGGCTTCCCCTGCATCACTTCCCCGGATGTAGTCTAGTTTTTCTTTTCTTACCATATTCCCAAACAATAATTCCCTACCTGAGCTAATCTCTCCCAAGACTTTCTCTTCACACTTTACGACTGAATGTTTTCCCCACTTTGATATAAACTTTAGTATAGTATAGTGCAGTATAGTATGCAATGTTCATATATGTAATATAATGCCTTTATGTCTGTCCCTAGTCTTGGCCTCCTCCACGATCCAAAGATCGCCAACTGCACTTGGCCCTATGGTTTCATGGGCTGGGAACCCACTACAGAATTCAAGGACTGTTATCGGCCACTATTTCTGGCATCATTGGCGTAAGTATCAAAAGTGGATTAGTGGTATTTCAGTGCTACTACTACTACTACTACTACTACTACTACTACTACTACTACTACTACTACTACTACTACTACTACTACTACTACTACTACTACTACTACTACTACTACTACTACTACTACTACTACTATTACTACTACTACTACTACTACTACTACTACTACTACTACTACTACTACTACTACTACTACTACTACTACTACTACTACTACTACTACTACTACTACTACTACTACTACTACTACTACTATTACTACTACTACTACTACTACTACTACTACTACTACTACTACTACTACTACTACTACTACTACTAGTGTTATTGCTGCTGCTGATGATTCCTTTTCTGTCAATAAAATACAAACACAGCCTTCAAAGTTTAGTTTAAACAACTGATCAACATCATGACACACGGGTAGTAACCCATAAGTGCTCCGTTTTACTTATAACTTCAGTCTAAGTCCGATGAACCTCACCGCAGTGCACAAACTCCCTAGCACCAACAAGGATCTTGAACTACTTTTGGACTCGATTTTTAACTCCAAATCTTGCCCGGTCAGCGCCATTAGGCTACTCTTTTCGATTTCCAACTACCAAGGGACTTTTTTACCGTGCGCTACAATACACAGGCGGGTCCTATCTCACTTCCCAGAGACCAGGAAATTTCTAGAAGTTTACGTGAAAAAATCCCAGCTTTCCCAGGGTGAACCCGAGACCTCGATCCTCGAAGCGGACGCTGTGTCTTGAGACCACTCGGCCACTAGGGTGAGAGATAAAGAGTTTTTTCTGAAATTCTCTGAGGAAAAAAAAGGTAGGTGCTTTTCTGAAAAAATAAAAATAATCACGTTCAACCAGCATTCCTGAAGGGGCAGCATTAGGTTATAATTGTGACCAGGTTATGTGCGACACATAAAATAGCTTAGCGTTGAATGCCACCAAAAGCCATGAACAGAACTCCTGCAGTGTTGATGCGATCAAAGAAGACAGAACCAAATACTGTCCCGACCGGCGACGACGTCGTCTACCAGCAAGCCATTTAGCGACCCGGTCGCCGATGGAAGAAAAAAGGATATACCTGGAGACAGACCTGCAATTGTATGAATGTTGTTACAGTCAGATTACTTTCTTCCACAGTAAGCGGTCCAGAGATTGTTTGTATTCAGCCAGCAATTTGACAGCCGAGGTTTCTGTTTATAGTGAGGACAAGGTTAGTTTCCTTCTATTGAAATGTTTCATTGTTTTCATGTGATTCCCATCAGTTACAAATATAGGACAAATAACGATACTTACATTGTACAGCATCATCATTATCATCATGTACCGCGTCCTTTGCAGAACTGTTTGTGCATACGATACACATCCTTATTGTATTTACTTAGGGTTTTTTTTAATTCTTCTAGATAAAAGGTGCTAATACCTGCCACATGGTATCTAAGACAAAGGTGCTGGCACTAATAACAATGCATCTTCAACAATAATAGTAAATAAAAGACTTTTTTCCGCGCATACACGCATCTGCAGCTGGACATATATTTTATTGACCAGTAAGCACTCTGTGGGTGATGTTTTCAGCATCGACCGACTTTACTTCCCAGTTTTATACTTTATACCTATTTGAGACTGGGTCGAGTTGAGAACCAAGGTCATATTTAAAACATAGCTGGCTCCCTGAACAAAAGACCTTGGGATCCATAGGCGAGCGTCTAGCCGTTACACCCTTTTGGATCCCCCTTGAACAGCAGTGCTAAAAAAAGACGCCTCAAGAGATGCTAAAAAGGTTGCCTGCACTGCATACAGTTGCGGTGTCCGTAGCTTAGGCGTTGCCAGTCCGACTCGTAATTCGAAGCCCACTAGCTGGCTGCGTGGATTTTCAACGTGGTATGGGGCGTCGCAAGTCGACCCAGCCTAAAATGGGTACCAATTCAATTCAAATTCTCTTTCGTTGACCACTTTCAGCTAGGTCCGCTCACATTTCTGCTCACTTTCCTTTCAGCTATATTTGTGGTGACGTTTTCTGGTCTCGATCTCATTTGATTTTGGATTGTGTTCATTCAATGGGTACCAGGAATTATGTCATAGGAAAGTAAACTGCTGACCATATTACCCACCTAGTGACGATTGGGCTGTAAAAAAATATGGCTGCTCTTCCCAAGTGCCCGATGGTCCTAAAGGCGTGAAAAGGGGGTCTTTATTTTACTTACTTTTATTTACTGCATACAGTTGCGGACGTCCCCCCCCCCCCCCCCGAAAGCCATGTATTTATGAAAGGGTAACTTTATCGTATAATGCTCAATAATCTTTATCAGTTGCCGTCATGAAGTAATAAATATGCTTATGCCCCTTATTCCAGCTTGCCTCAGTAAACCAGTCACTTTCCAGTATTCTAGACAAGTGGTGAGTTCAACAAAGACAAGTCAAGTATCTAGTCTACATTGACTCTTGACTGGGCAGACCCTCGAGTGAATGATCACCCATCTATGTATAGCCTGTAATATGCAATCATACATGTACACGTGCATTTAAAAAAGAGATAATGAAAATGAAGACAGACATTATGTAATTATAATAAATAAATTTTTGTTTTTAAATCACAGCACATTGTTTGACATGTTATCATTGCAATTTTAAATGTTTCTGTTCAAGAAAAAAGCAGAAGACCCTTGTCCAAGCTTTCAGGTGTACTGGGTATATAGGGCTTAACATATATTTTGTATAGATAATCGGCACAACAGGACAATGATTCTACATAACCGATGCACCGTAGCCGTTAGGAATTGCTCTTTTCTTTTACCCCCAAGAAACAAAAACAGTTGCGTTAGTTCTTCTACATCCTTTTAAGGATGAAATTTTTTTGTTATTTGAAGCCCCACCCTGGCTTTTGCCAGGGGCCGCTATATAGGCAGGCCATAAATATGGCCAATTGTCTGAACGCGGTTTCTGGGACCTCTCCACGGTGATCCTCATCTGCATGGTGGCACTTTGTGTCATCGGGTGTTTATTGCTTTTGTGACGTCCTGGTGGGGTAGAGAGTCAGTCAACAGTTGCGTTATTTATAGAGTTCTGACCCTTTGTATATCAAAGACGTAAGGGTTAAAGTTGTTAACCACAGATCAACATAATGGCACACGGGTAGCAACCTATAAGTGCTCTGTTATTTTTCTAACTCAAGCCCCAGTCCAAATAAGCTCGGCACAGTGCATAGGTTATGTAGCCCGGCGAGGATCCTGAAATACTTTGGGCAGATTTTAAACTCCAAATTTTGCTCTGCAGCACCTATCAGTTACTCTTTTCGATTTCCAACTGCTAAGGGGTTTTGTACGTGAGCAACAATGTACACGTGCGTCCGATCTCACTACGCAGAGACCAGGGGAAATTCATAGAAGTCCAAGTCCACATAACAAAATCCCAACCCGGAACCTCTAGCACTCGAGATAGACACCATGTATCGAGACCACGCAGCCCCCTTGAAAGACTTACGAGTTGAAAGTTTATTTGATTGGTTCTTCAACACTTACGATCCTGATAATAGTGCATATCAGCCCCCACCCCAGCAACCCTCACTAGGTACTAAAATACCGGTACAAGCCATTAGTTTTCGTGCAATTAACATTTCTCAGCTAAAATAATTGGCACAAAGAAACTAGACCACAGTTATAACCGATAATGATCGCATCAAGTGCAACGTTGTCGATTTTTTTTCTATAAATACATACATAAATGGAAGAAGAAGAATGGTCAGAATGTTCACAACATAATCCATAGGATGCACATCCGCATGTAAAAGGGGAAAAAAAAACAGGCTAGCCTTATATGCCCTGTACATTTCAAGGCGTGAAAATGAGACAATTACCTTTTTTTTTTAAACAATTTTATTATACAGTAAAAACAACTGTTTGGTTGTCGATGTCCGTTAAAATTCCACTCCTTTCTATAGGGATGGATTTATGCTGGTGAGCTCCCAAGCTATGTCCCTACCTACACAGAACTGCATGTTACATAGGGCTGGGTTAATCGTTATGCCAGTGGCTTTCAGACTTCCTAGTGTCCCGACCCTTTAATATAGTTGCTGATGTTGTAGCGACCCCCAACCATACCATTAATTTCGTTGCTACTTCATAACTTCGGTTAACGTGTGTTTGCCGATGGTTTTTAGCGACACTTATGAAGGGTCGTTAGACAGACAAAGGGGTCGCGACACACAGGTTGAGAACCGCTGCCTTATAGAAGAAGAAGAAGAAGAAGAAGAAGAAGAAGAAGAAGAAGAAGAAGAAGAAGAAGAAGAAGAACAAAAACAAGAACAAGAGGAAGCAGCAGAAGAAGGAGAAGGAGAAGAAGAAGAAGAAGAAGAAGAAGAAGAAGAAGAAGAAGAAGAAGAAGAAGAAGAAGAAGAAGAAGAAGAAGAAGAAGAAGAAGAAGAACAAGAACAAGAAGAAGAAGAAGAAGAACAAGAACAAGAACAAGAACAAGAAGAAGCAGCAGAAGAAGGAGAAGAAGAAGAAGAAGAAGAAGAACAAGAACAAGAAGAACAAGAACAAGAACAAGAAGAAGAAGAAGAAGAAGAAGAAGAAGAAGAAGAAGAAGAAGAAGAAGAAGAAGAAGAAGAAGAAGAAGAAGAAGAAGAAGAAGAAGAAGAAGAAGAAGAAGAAGAAGAAGAAGAAGAAGAAGAAGAAGAAGAAAAAAAAAAGAAGAAGAGAAAGAAAAAGGAAAAGAAAAAGAAGATGTAAGAAAAAGAAGAAGAAAAATAAGAATGAAAATTAAGAGAACAAGGAGGAGTTGAATATACTGTTTGCTGTCTGAAAGTGTTGACACTTCTTTTCAAATAGCCATACTGTTTTTGTTCCTCTTGTTTTTTTTTTTTTCTACAAAGGAAATTGTTACTGTTGGCGTTTTCTATGACACCAAGAAGCCTTTAATAAAAAAAATTAAAAAAACACACACACCCACTCTCACGTGAAGACTAAGCCAGGTACACCTA